ATTTAAAAATATTTTTTAAAGAATTGGTATATTTTTTTCTTTTTTCTAGCGAGTTGTTTTCATATCGTTGTGCTGGTTATTCACCTATTCAAATTACGGGCTCAGATTATAATCGTTTAAAAGATGATGATGAGTTAAACGACAACCTTATCGTGTTTTACATGAGGTAATAATGTTTGCCCAAAAAAAAAAAAAAAAAGAGATACGACCATACAAATTTTCTCACAATTTTTTCTCAATTACTTTAATTTATCTTACATATATAGATATTGTCTAGAAAAACTTCGTAAAAATGATGAGAATGATGCAAAACGATATTATCTTTTTGATTCATTCTTTTATCAAAAATTATCTGATTTGAATGATAATTTCAAAAGGTGTTCGTGCTATCTAGTTTTTAGTATTATTTGAATGAGTATTATGAAATCAACAATGAATTTTTTATTTAGAAACAAAAGCAAAATTTACGAAACGATGTCAAGGTGGATCAAAGTCGATCTACTTGAATTTCGATATATTTTTGTTCCAATCTGTGAAGAGTAAGGTTTTTTTTTTTTTAGATTTTTATTTTTTAAAATTCCATTTTTTAGTTCTATTCGTAATGACGATTTATTTTTCTTTGTAAAAGTCAACATTGGTATCTGGTACATATTATTAACCCAGCTGCGATTATTAGCAATCCATCCGATTGTCACATTGCGGTTTACGACTCTATCGCTACGAAATTTAATCATAGACGTGCCGTGCGCATACTTAAAAATCTATTAATTGATTATATACGAGATGTTAAAGGTGAAACAATTAAACCAAAAATTCCTCAATCGATCGTGAATACACCTAAACAGTCAAATACAGTCGATTGTGGAGTTTATATTCTACACTTTATAGAAACATTTATGGAAAACTCTGATGAACTTGAACAACAAATTGTCGATAAAGAAACTGATGAGGAACAATGGAACCCTGCCGCTTTATCTACAAAACGTCAAACAATTCTAGAAACAATAAAAAAAGTAGAGGCTGAATATCAGTCGTAAGTATTTGGTTTTTTTTTTTTTTTTTTTTTTTTTTATGATGTAATATTTTTATAATTTTATTAATTTTAATATCTTTATGAATTAGCTAGGCCTATTATTGACATAGTTGATTCACACGATTAATAACAACTACGACACTTACTATATTGTCATAAACCATGACTCATTATTTCGTAATTAAATACTGTATATTTGATAAATATATCAGAGCACACTATAGACGATGGGTACAGCCAATTATATA